ATCCATTGTGTACTTTCTCGAATTCATGTAAGATAAACACTAACGTACCAACCACGGATCTGGAAAAAACTTGTCAAAATTTAAAGCCTTTAAAGGTACACAAATTAAGAAATGGAGAACCCATCAAAATTCACAAAACCCATTTCAATGCTCTACGTAAATTGCGGTTCACTATTGGTAAAAAATCCCCTCTTGATTCCGTTATTTCAAAAACTCCTAGTATAATATCAAATCGTTCAAAATTTCCAAATTCAACACCCAATGAAGAGAAAAATCATATTTTTAATGATTGTTACAACTCCGAAGGCGTATCTCAAATTAATTTAGATAAAACTTCTAATGCAGAGTCATCTACCGCAGTAGACAAAGTAAAAAGTCCTCCAGTTAATTCGAAAAACTGTGGCTCATTGTTAGTCTGTAACCAATTTAAAATTAGGTCGCAATATTTATGTGAATCCGTAGACTCAAATATTAAAGACAACACGTCAAACGTAGCAATACTCGACAAGAAAAAACATTCCGAAAATGCTAAACCCAAAATAATAAGTCATTTCAGTAAAAACCCACCGGTGCTTCAAAATACCGCGCTGGGGTTGATTCTTAGCGGCAGTTTTGCATATTTAAAAAATAATACTTCCCATCATCACAAAATTAGTTCAACCCAAATTATTTCTCGGTTCTTGGAAGCTGAAACCGTCAAAACCGGAAGCAGGTCATTAAGCAAAGGGTTTAAAAGCGATCTTTGTGTAACCCCTTTTCAGTATACTACCACAGGCCATTCACCCGATGGCTATTTCATGGTCAAACACCCCTTTTCGGAAAATCAGCCGCGGTTAGAGAATTTTGCACAAATGCACCCAAAGTGGCTATTATCAGTCGACAGGAAGTTGGGGCGTTCCACAGTCCCTTATTTCGAAAATCTACGTAAATTACGAAATTCCCCAGAACTCGCTCTCCAACTATTATTGTTAGCAGAGGGACGTGATCATAAACGTAACGAGGGTTTTATTGTCTCTCAAAGGAAGTACCTAGACCTTGTGCACCTGAAGGTACTTAACGAAAATTCCGCAAATAATTCCGTTTACCTGTCACACAATTGTGTTTTAAATCTTCACATTTCTGCCACTAAACTCTGCGTAGTTGTTGGCCGTTTAAATCTTAGTTCAAAGAGTTTAAATATGAATAGCCGGAAGTATAACGAAATTACTGATAAAAACCATCTTGAGGGCGAGGGCGTGTATGCGCTCATTGTCAGAGTTAAAGCCGTCCTGAATTCGCGCCTTTCGAAGCCTCTGTCCAGCGACCGCAATAATTTGGTCGCATTTATACCTGGCCAGTGCCTCTTTTGGCCAGCCATCAACTGGTCCCTCAGGAAAAGACCACGCCGTCGTTCCCATCAACAGGCCATCCCTTGCCACCTCATCCACGCTTACCGTCAACACTTCTGGAAGTCGTGGTACCTCGAATATTTGACCACACTGAAAGGCAGGTTAGGGTGGCAAAGACCATCTTCTAACGTTCCAGGAATGGCAAGATGGGTCCTCGTGAAAAAGGAGAAATTTCCGCGTCTACAGTGGCGGTTAGGACGCGGCCCTCCAACATCATTTTGGAAAGGAAGTGGTGGTGTGTGTAGTGTCGGTGAAGTGCAAAAGATAATTTCGCAATCGCATGCATTATCATTCTATTTAACCATATTGCATACATCTTGTCAATTTGTTATATACATCTCATTGTTGATTTATTTTACTATGTTCTATATAGTTTATATTTGGTCTTAAAACAATGTAATTGTTTCAAGGCGGGGGGTTATGTTAGAGCCTCTGGCGGGGACCTGTTTCACCCCTCCCCACCCGTAAGGGTGGGAGCCAGAGCCACCCCCACCTTGGAACACAGGGTAGCATTCATTCTTAATTCTTAACTCATTCATACACATTCAATTCACAAGTCTCAATTCGTAACTAACATTCAACTATCTCGACCGCACGGTCACATAATATACTATTCTTATTATTCTTATTTATCTAACACTTGTCATTACCAATATACATTTATCTTACTGTTCGCTGGTCTTATTCATTTATACAAACTTCGACAGAATGTATAACCCTATTTTGTTATAAATGCATCAGTATTATTTAAGTTTTTTATACTTAAACAATAGTATTAAGTAGTTACAGAATTAAAAGTTTACATTTACTTTTAGCAGGTACCTAATTACTAAATTACTACAATAAAATATATTACTCCATTATATTATTTAGTTTTACTATGGAAGGATAGGTAACAAGCTACAAACACCTCATGATTAAATATATGCAAAATAACAGAGTAAAGGATACAAGAACTTATAGAGGGACAAGCATCTCCTACTGTAATAATATTTATATAAATTAAAACAACCACTACCAACAGTATGCTGAAAACCTGTAGCATGTTTGATAGTCTTGACGACTTTAACTCGGACACTTCGCATCAGTTTACAATCCCATCCCTGTTTTAAGAAAGTTTGAGTGCGCAACCACGTGCGAACTTCATATCTTTAGCATTCAAGAAATTGAGAGATATGACTACAATCAGAAGATTTTTGTTTTGATGACTTCTGAGGGAGTATGTCTTCCATATCAAATGTTTGTGTTTTTCTCGCTCACAGCACACATACATTTATACGTGCTGCTACTCTCAATATATCAATAAATGCGACAAATTCTGCCGGTGATATATAAATACATAATATTCACGTTGAGTTACATAAAATTACGCTGAATTTGAATTTTAAATCCTTACTATTTTCTATCAAAATGATAAATTAACGTAGGATTACATTTGCAAGAAAATAGATCCGGATTTGTTCAGCAAAATTTATATATGTACAGGTGAGGTAACTTGACGTAAAATGTTGGGTTGGATTGTTCAGAAAAACTTAGTAAATGAAATAATTTCATGGGCCTCAAAAATGTTTTATTATACGTACATAGAAAGGTGGTGACAAAAAAAGCGCAGAAAATGCTTTAAGAAAATATTATTTTAAGAAAAGCAAATAAAACGTTTCAAAAGTAATAAATATTGAACTTTGCAGAGTTTTTTTTTTCTCAATTTTATAGTAAAATAAAAACTCAGATAAACTATTTTTCTGTTACGATTTTTACTTCCCGAGCGTAAACTATAAGGAAGTATTGTAATCGAGTCCATCATTCGACTGATTACTTTCATATTGTCTCGATGTGTCATGACCCCAACAGAAGGTCTCCTGTTTCCGTCTGTCTGTGTCTGTCTGGCTGCTTGCCCGCCTGCCCATCTGCCCGCCTGCCCGTCTGGCCGCTTGTCCGCATTAAAAAAAACTTCATTGATGAAAAATTTTAAGACACCTATTGTACAGGTAAGAAAGACATTTTTTTAAGCAATTTAAAGACACCACAGAAGATGCTTTGTTAGAATCAGTAGTGTTGGTTAGATTATTGTTAAATAACTAATATAAAATGATGAATAGTTTTTGAAATATGACGTTTTTAAAACCAAAAAATTGGTCGAAGTTTATTTAGACAGAACTTACCTCGTCCTTCAAGTCTAGTCCAACAAATCGCGCTTCTTTGAAATAATATTATGAAATTTGAGAAATAACATAAATTCGATGGGGGTCGGTTCGCACAATTGCGGACAATGTAAAATATATATATTTAACGCAGATAACCAACGAGAAAAAGTATTTTCATATTCTCAGTACATGTTTAACTTCGACTATTTATATTTAGACTTCGAAATTAATGAAGAAAGAATTAGACCATTACCATGTTCAGCTTACAAGAATCAGCGACGACATTCGTGTCAAAAGAAAATGAAATTTGATTTTGTTTCCTCAATTCAGAGAGTAGGATAACTAATTAAGCATTTGCAGATAAGACTTTGTAAAATTTGATTCATATAAATATAACCAATGTTATCTCAACTTACAACAACTTGCCGCTTTTATATTGCACAAGCTGTAATATTTTAATGATTACTAATATTGTTTAAATTATTGAAATCATTTTTACTTCACTTCCTATTCCAAAATGAGTTGAATGTGTTCCCGTACTAAATAAGTATAATTAGAATCAGATACGAGTAGATATTTGTCGGACCGGAGTTAACGTAATCCCTAAATGGCGTTGAGGTTCGTCGGTAACAATATTATTTTGGTCAACGTCTCATGCCATCCTTTCTTCGCTTTGTTTATCGTAGATTAAAATCCGCCCTTACTTTCTGAGCTTAAGTTAAGGAAATATTGTAATAGGGCCGGCGAATGGCTGTTTTCCCTTTTAGTCAGAAAATAGTTCAAATTTCATTCAAACAAATTGGGGACGTATCTGTCGACTTTTCTTTTTTGAAATACATTGACAAACAGAGTTGTATAAATTTTCAAAAATCTGTTAATGCTTTTAAGTGAAAATCAGCCTATATTGACTCAACTTAAAATCTCTTTTATGTGTCCAGCACGTTATGGATTATTGTTAGAACAAATGTAAATTACGTAGCTTGTTCTATAAATCGTTGGACACTGGACAAAAGTTTCAAAATATAATTTTTATTCAGCATTTCTGAAGTTTGCGGAACTAATATTTTGATCTTGTTTGTTTAAATTTGTTTGCCATTCCTATTAATTAAAAAATATACTTAAAAAATAATTAATGATATATCATTTGAATATATTTCAATAAAAACCTTACTCTTACGAAGCACCGACAGAAAATAGGGTGTACAATCTGTTCCATTAATGCAGGACCATTATTTTCTCAAGTGTAACTCATTTCTAGTCCCTTTTTCAGCAAAAATAAAGAACAAGCTAATACAGGCGGTTTGCCACCTACGTATTTTTCATTGATAATACAATGCGTTGCGTCAATGATGACAAAATCCATCCCTGATAGGCCAAAGCAGGAGTCCTGCAAGAAACCCGTCCTGCTATTGGTTAGTTGAACGTGTATTAAGCTCCGCAGCTTTGGCGTGCTTCAGTGCGCCTCAATACCTGTGTATCAGTGCAACGCACTTGTTCCTGCAGCAACACGCGTCCTGCTGGTGCGTTACTTCGCCGGTGCTGCGCTTCTTGTTGGCTCTTGGAAAGTTAGGACTAGGACACGGTAAGTACTTAACAACAATTTCAAATTTTAATTACGAGCGCGGAGTTAATTCATTTTTGTAATTAACTAAACTTCTTGCAAATTGGAAACTTTTCTCTTACCTGGACACGTAGCACGGAGGCCGAAAGTGAAGTTTCAAATTAAAATATTCACTTTGTAAGTGGGAAGACGTTGTTATTATAGTAGTTTCGGATTCTTTCAGATTTGGTTAAATTATTTTCCACCAACATTACTTTTAAAGAACTTTTTATATCCATAACGCATTTTATAAGAGCTGAAAGTTATAATAAAAATTATCGACAAACAAATTTAAAATGTTCAGGTAATAATACAGCGTATGAAGTTTTAACGATTGCTTGTGCGTGTTGTACGTCTATTAAGTGTGAATTTCATAAATAATTTAAATTGCGACAAAGTTATGCATTAACCACGTCTCTTTGAGTGCTTGTGACGTAATAATGTCACACAATTTTATAAAGTTTAAACGTCATTACATTAAATAAATCATAAAGTGTTATTATAACCAAAAAAAGCTAAACAAATTTTGCTATAAATACATATAAAAATTAATGAAGTATTTAACAATTTGTTAGTACGATAGTATCAAATTTTATGGCATCAGTTATTTAACAAAATAGTTAAAATAGTATAAACTAGAGTTAGATTTTGCTTAGTACAATAAATAGCTAATGACCGCGTTTTAGCGGCTGAAATTTACAACAGTGAATAACCCAGTCTAAAGCCAGATTATGCAAAAACTTACAAAGACACGATAACAGAAACGTTGCTCTGAACTTTTTACCGTTACATTTCAAGATATATATTTAATTTATTTATATACACTTTTTAACATTTGATTTATTTTTTAATTTTGCTAAAACTAACAATACTTGACAATTTTTCCGAAAATAATTAATTATTTATTTAGTATACAGTTTATGTACTCTATATTAATATACTGTTAAATTATACTTCTGCGTTTAAATTTAAATATTCTTTTTTCTTCGTGTAGAAAAAAAATGTCTTACCGGAGATCTGTGTTTTTGATTATAGAAATTAAAATACAGCTTTAATAATCGACAACTATCACGGAAGAACATATTATGCCAATATCATTGACATTTTACTTCAAGCTAAGGTAATTTTGGTCAAAATCGCATTCGATATCATGTCACTTCATTATAAAAACTAGCTGTCCATTTATGAGTATATGTACAGCATTGTGAATTTTTATTTATCAGTGGTTTTTTGTATTTACTGTTGGAGTGTTGGAAACAGTAAGAGATTTGAAAAAGTTGCATTACTTTATGGCGCCTATTTTTTTTTTACAAAAATCTGGATAGATGGTATAACAAATTTTCCTATCCCTTGAAGCACAACCATCTATATCATTTCATAGTTCATTTTTAATACAGATTTATTTAGCATTCCTAGTGAGATAATGTTATTGTGTTGCGAGAGTTTCAAGAAAAGTCTATCAGCTTTTTCTGAGACTTTGGATAAAATAAGTCAGTTATTAAGCAAACCTAATTAATAAAAACATATTAGCATATTACTAAAGCATACATATTTTAGAGTGTTTTATCATTTTTGAGATATCTTTAAAATTTAAGAGAAATAGGAAGTGTGCTAAGATAGGCAGATAGATGTGAAGCCTGTATTCGTTTATTTTAGTGACCGTCAAACAAGGTTAAGTGCGGCATTTGTTAAAGTAGCCCTTTTCTATTATCAATTTATCAATTATTATTATTATTATTATTATTATTATGTTAGGCGATCGGGCAGAGGTCTACGCCTGTTATGCCCGCGCCGTCGTGTTAGTGGGAAGTACCCAATATTTCTATTGGGAGCTGTAAATGTCATATTTAATTTTAAAAGCCATTGTTGATTGTGAACTGACTATTTCTTCCGGCAAAGAATTCCATTGCTGAAAAACTCTATTACTCAAGAAGTGCTGCCTTACCGTAGTCTTAAACTTTTCTTTAGCCAATTTAAAAGAATGTCCTCTAGTAAGAGTATGTGCACTAAGTATGAAGAGCTTGTGTATCGGAGACGACTTATTGGACATGGCTTGAAATGTCGTGATAAGATCACCTCTTACGCGTCTATTTGATAAAGTTAGAATTTTCATTATTGCGAGTCTTTCATGGTATTGAGGCCGTACTCTACCAAACGGTATTCTTGTAGCCCTACGTTGGACAGATTCAAGCAAAAGGATGTCTTTCTGTAAAATAGGCGACCATACACTGTTCGCAAATTTTAGTAAGGGTCTTACAAATGTTTTATATAATTTGGCAAAGACAATAGGACTACTTTTTTGGAATGCCCGTCTCAGAAGGAACAGTGTCGAATTGGCTTTTTTACTGACATGTGCGATGTGCTGAGACCAAGACAAGTCACAAGTTACCATTATCATGCGTTTGGAAAAAGCAAAGTTTAAGTATTAGGCATGATAATAAATATCTTTAGTTTTTAAAAACATTCAACCGAAGTGTATGAATTCTCTAATTTCATTCACAACGAATAACTATCTATTAATGGTCGTGATTTTTTTGTCACTGATGTGACACCCGATATTTTATATGTAGTACACCTTTAAAAGATAGTTACTTTACTTGTACATTTTTATGGGCAATATTTTGTTATGTCAATTAAAATAGAACATTAGTTTGTAATGATTATATTTTCACAAGTTATCCATTCGTAATTCTCTGAAACAGAATTAGTTAAGCAAATCCAGTTTCTCAGAAAATTTACAAAATTTTGTTACGGTAAAAATGGGTGGATTATCATCAAACTACAGGCAAAGGAGTAAACTACTCCGCATGTGTCAAGTAAGATTTTTTCTAAAATTTTTAAATAACGTCATCAACTTTTTGGTGGGATAAAATGAGTAAGTAGTTTTGACACGTGCAGTCTATTTCAGGAGATTTAGGTAGGCCTTTTTTGTCTCAATCAATGAAATACATTTTTACAAGAAATAAGCAGATACCATTTTATTCAAAAAATTGCTTGAAGTTTATTTCGACAGAACTTCCCTGGCCCTTGAAACAAATCCCGCTTCTTTGAAAAATTATAAAATTTAATTTAGTGGTTTTTGTTATGTGATAACTTCAATAAAGTTAAAGCCAATGGCATAAATAGCATCCCCCGCCGGGAGGCAGTTACAAGGAACACAAGTGCTTACTATAGAAAATACATTTAAATCAGATAACCAACGGGAAACTGAACTCTTATTAGTAACTTCGAGTATTTATGTTTATACTTCGAACGAATTCACGTACAAGCATCAGCGGCTGCATAAAAGAAAATTAAATTTGATTGATTTTGTCTCTTTAAGACAGAGGAGTGGATTAATTAATGTAGCAAAACGGTCTGAACATTATTTTGGGTGAGTTGTTATTGTAAAAAAAAATATTTGCGGTGTCACATTACCGTAATTTTCGAGTCAACCGTTCTTAAGTAGATTAAAAAAAAGATATAAGAGGATGAGAGTGAGATTCGAACTCGCTACTGCAGACCTTGTGCAAACGCTTAGAAAGCAGAAATTAGTCACCTGCATGCTCAGAAATATCGAAAAATGGTGAAATGTGATATTCAGAAACAAAAAATGAATCATGTTACTTAAAAACGTACATAGTCATTGATGTGTTAGCTCAAAACCTAATCACCAAGAAATGGGTACCCCTTAAAGTGTACAAATAAGCTAATTAGTTTTTCCTTTTTTTTTTTCTTTTTGTTTTTTAGCAGTCCGAGAGGTTTTTAATACGACACTGGTAAGCATCACAGGTATACAAAAGAAAATATATATTTAAAAGTAAGATTTAATGTTTTAGACAAATGAGCATTTAAACGGTATTGGGGTAGGTCAGTAAATAAACAGTTATTTTAAATTGATTTTTAACATGGGTTATTTAGATGTTTATACAACTTTATTTGACAAATTGTTTCAGTTAGCACATATTTAGAGCGTTAAGTATTGATTTTATAAACAGTTTTGTTAATTTAACAGGGGCGAAAATATATTCGTTGTAATAGGTGACCGCAATATTGAAATATGGTGGAATATATGAAATAAAAATAAATAAGTTAATAACATAAATCCCGCTATTAAATAAACTATATGGAAAATGTTAATTAAATATGAAGAAATGGCAAAAGGTAGAGAAAATTAAACGTTTAGACCTTAAGAACAAATTTTTCTTTTCATTTTACTAGTCACAATTTTATTGAAAATAATAATAATGCAGGAACAAAAGTCATATGTAACCAGAAGACTCAATTAAAGATAATAATTTTTAATTTGATAGTCTTTCCAACAGAATAATATCTCATGTGGAACAATTGCAAGAAAATAATCCACTCACCTTCCGTGTATTGCATATTACTGTTTCCACGTTTAATGGAAATTATGATAGTTACTTCATCTTATATTTAGGTCATGTCATGAGTCATCATTAAACAAAAACTAATTAAATGGTAGAACTATAGCTGCTACTCATTAGTTATTAGTTATTACAGAGTATCTATAAATGTTTGTCATAAACAACTATCATCGTAACTTTAATGAAGTATGTCAAAGTATTTATTCGCATTTATAAGACGCGCTTTTGCTGTAATACTGTATATCGATTGTGGAAAAATATTTCATAAAAAAAAAGTATGATTAAAAACATTGTTGTTGACGTTATTTGGTTATTATTTTTAGTAAAATTTTAATGACACATTCAGTGTAGGTATGCTTAATAAATATTTACTGTTTCTTCATAATTAATGTTTCTCTTGTCAGTAGTTAGGATAAATTCAGTGAAATTGAGAATCGATATAAGAATGGTAGATTTGTGTGTTTTTGCTATCTTACTTAGAAGTGTAAGTATTATAATTAATGTAACTGTGACCTGTCGCTTTTTAAACAGAAATACATATCTTAACCTTCGAACACAGAAAATTACGCTTTATAGTAGAAGCTTGTGTAGAGGGCACACAACTACTTTCCTTAT